GGCGGGGCCCTGCGCGCGAACTGCAAGTCAAAACGGCGAGTAGCCGACGAAGCGCACGAAGAACCAGGTCAGCGTGCCGCGCCCCGCCCAGGTGACGGTGCTGAAGGTGTGGAAACTAAGGCTGCATCCTGATGGAGGAAAATTTGGACGGTCCGTGGCGTAAAGTTGGCAGAAGTGACGCTCCGTGCTTCGTCTTGTTTGAGGGCTCTGTTTGCGCAGATGTCCGAATTGCAGCGTCAACTGGCTCTGCTCAGATTGCGCTGAATCGACGGAACAGAATTGTCATCGGCTTGCCTTCGTCGCTTGGCAACAAAAAGAAGCTGAGACAAATGCCGCTGGGTAAAGGAACGTCGCGATCAGATGAATGCCCAGATGCAAGAACTCCAACGGCAAAAGGACGAACACCTTTGACATTCACTGGATGAAGAGGCCGTTGCAAGTTGGACAGCGGGCATAGCTAAGCCACCAGACGACGTTGGGGGCAGCTCAGTTGCCCCTGGTGGAAACTGAACGTAGCAAGAAAAATGTACATTCCTTTTGCCAAGTTAGTGGTGCTGGAAACGGATAAGAGAAGTATGGGGAAATGGCCGACAAGGAAACGCAGATGTGCTACCAATTGCAGGCTGCCGAAGAAGCACCAAAGAACTCTGAGCGAAAGGTGGAATATGTCCTCCAAGAGAGGGCGGCTCTTGCAGGCTGCCGAAGACGCGCCAAACAACTCTGAACGAAAGGTGGAATATGTCCTTCAAGAGAGGACGGCTCAGGCCGCTGCAGTGGGACGGCACGTCAAGGAGGAAGCGTCTGCCGCGGTGCAGCAGGCAACCCTCTGTGAGGATGAAGTAAGACATGGCCAGGATTAGCAATACTATAGTCAGACAAAAAAACAGGCGCACGTAGACCGAGAGGCCTTGCAAGAGACTCGATCTCAGGATGCGCTAGCTGAGCGAAAGGGCCTTTTGAAGTTACAGGTTCGCTTTGTGGTGCCCTGCGGCGTTGTCTCAAACCCAAGTTCAGCCTTCGCCGATGGGAGAACATGCGCTTGCGTTGCAGGCCCAGCCCGCGACGCCAGGGCAGCCGGACAGCCTGGCTCTGGGGTTGAGCCTCCGATGCAAATTTACGTCCGCCGTCGCCGAGCGAGGTGGCCACGGCGCTAACCGTAGCGGAGGGTCATGCAGACAGAGATACCCTCCTTCGAGTAGGGCGACCGCGAATGATTGCAGCCTCGGGACGTTTGGCGATCTGCCAGTCGGCGACTTGGACGGGCGCGGTATCCTGGCAACGTCCACGACAGCAGACGCGCTGATGATAGTAGCGATGCTGGTGGCGATGCTGACAGCGATGACGGCGCGGCCAGTGACGGCGCCGATGCTGACCGCGACGATGTCGGCGCCCTCGCGTCGGCGATGGAGGTTTTGGAAGGAGTTCGATCTGTGCGCGCGGCCGACGCGCGAGAGTGGCCCGCGTGGCATTATTTGACACGGACCAGGGCTAGCTTGGCAGAGCGCTATGAACACATTTGTTTGGATAAACAAGTAGTAGTAGTAGTAGTAGTAGTATATATATAGATGTATATATATATGTATATATACACGTTTTTTAAAAAGTATGACAATCGGTTTCTCAAGGATTCGCCAGAGCGCGAGCCCGAAGTTCTTTTGAACATTGATGTTGGAAGATAATATGGTTCCGGGGCACTCGGTCTTGAATTCCTTGCGAAGCCGGTGGTGCTTGAAGGCTTTCGGCACGCGCGCGACGACGCGCGCGCGCACTTCGTTGATTCTTTTGTAAGGGATATCTGAACACAGATGGTTTTGATAAACGAATGCGCGCGCATATTATGCGTTGCAGAGGATGACGGGGTGGGGTGGGGTGCGGTGGGGTGGTGGTGGTGGTGGTTGGGGGGGGGGGCGATGCCGGTTCCTTTGGGTTTCGAGGGTGCATTTTTTGGGATGGGCGATAGGGCGCAACCATATGCAACTTGCAATGCGATGGGCGCGGATAATCCAGGGGGGGGGGGAGTTCTTCCTGTTGTAGAAAAGTTGACGCATTCCACGCGCGCGCAAACGGCCCGCCCGCCCGCCCGCGACTTCGCTTGCAAAACCCATGCGGCGGCGATTGCCGCGCGCGCTGGGCGTTGGCAGGTGCATCTCCGCGGCCGCGCCAGCCCGCGCATGCGCGCGCGGGGCGGCCAGCTAGTTCGGCGCGACCGACGCGACCGCGGTGGCGCTGACCGCTCGACACTTCCCAGCGGGCAGCGGGCTCGTCAGTGCGAGTCGGCGACTTGGGCGGGCGCGGCGTCGTGGCGACGCCGACGGCGGTGGACGCGATTATAAGGGCAACGACGCTGGTGGCGATGCTTTCAGCGACGACGGCGCGGCCAGTGAACGCGCCGACGCGTCGGCGATGAAGGTTCTGCGCGGAGTTCGACGCGCGGGAGCGGCCGCGCGGCGTCAATCGCACCCCGCCCCCCCCCCCCCCCCACCCCACCCCGCCCCCCGCG